AAGTGCCCATTCGAGTGGGGTCCCGAGCAACAAGCGTCATTTGATCTGATAAAAAGATTAATGACGACGGCACCAATCCTCCAACCGCCTGACCCGAAGGGAGACTTCATGCTACACACCGACGCGAGCGATACAGGTTTGGGAGCGGTACTGACGCAGATAGTGGAAGGAAATAAAAGAGTCATCGAGTTTGCCAGTCGTACGTTGAGCCAGCAAGAAAGGAACTTTTCGGTCTCCGAACGCGAGTGCCTCGGAGTCGTATGGTCCATTGAGAAATTTCGGCCAGACATGGAAGGTTATCACTTCAAAGTGATAACCGATCATAGTTGCCTCAAGTGGCTGAGGAACATGAAGAATCCGACAAGCCGCTTAGCTCGATGGGCGCTTAAGCTACAGGGGTACACCTTTGAGGTAGAACATCGTAAAGGTGCCCTACATCACGTGCCCGACTGCCTCTCAAGAGCTTATGAAGAGGATGGCGAGGAAGACTCGACCCTGTGTACCATGACCTGGAGTGAGTGCACTCAGGATAAATGGTTTCTGGAGACCTTACAGGCAGTGACGGATGAACCGGAGAAGAACCCGACATGGAAAGTCATGGGGGGAAATTTATATACGTACCACCCAGGCACACAACTCGGTGAATTGGGCGATGAGGAAGAAGCATGGAAGCTGGCGGTGCCCAAGGAACAGAGGAAATCAATCATGGCTGAGTGTCACGACGCCCCGACGGCTGGGCACCTTGGGCGGGAAAAGACTCTCACCCGGATACGCCGCTTTTACTTCTGGCCAACCCTCAAAGACGACGCCGCCCAATATGTGAAAAGTTGTACGGTATGCCAACAATGTAAGGTGGAGCAGCGCCCACCCTACGGCACGATGGGGCGCCGCCAAATGGAAAAACCATGACAGGTCGTAGCCGCGGATATAGCTGGACCCTTTCCTCGAAGCCCGAGAGGGCACGAATATATCTTGGTGATCGTGGATCTATTCACTCGATGGGTAGAATATATCCCCCTTCGAAAGGCCACGGCTAAGAATATCGTACGAGAATTCCACGATCAGATAGTCACACGGTACGGTACGCCAGAAGTCTTCCTATCGGACAATGGCGCTGAGTTTAAGAATAAATTGGTGGAAGAATATCTCAATAGAAACGGCATCTCGCGGGGCCTGACGCCAATTTATTGTCCACGGGAGAATCCGACGGAGAGATACAATCGTACCCTCAAGACCATGATCAGATCATACCTCGAGGAGCAGCACAAGAATTGGGACGAGAAGCTTCGTGATCTCTGCTTCGCTCTTAACACCGCCGTCCATAGCTCCACCAAGGTTAGCCCCGCCATGCTGAATTATGGGAGACAACCAGTGCCGCCTGCAACGATCCGGCGCGAACGGAAAGCAATAAAAGCGGAGAACGAAGAAAACCAGTCGCGGGAAGATTGGGCGGATCACATGAGTCATCTACTCGAGCTATTCGAAACGGCGACGGAAAGGGGGCGACATGAACAGGAACGTCAAGCGAAAATGTTCGATCAGAAGCGACGGCAAGTCCCATTCAAGGTTGGCGACTGGGTATGGTACCGTAACCGCGTCCTTTCGTCCGCGGCAAAGGCAATCTCGGCTAGTTTGGCGCCGTTTTATAAAGGCCCGTACATCATCATCGAAAAACTGGGGGCGAATACCTTCCGAATAGCCAGCCACCAGGAGACTATTGAAGGCACGATACACGCCGAAGATCTTAAACCATTCTACGAAGCGACCAAGAAAGAAGAAGGCGAAGACACTCGACCACCGAGGGACATCGAGGCGAAGTGCGACCCGCCGGCGACATGCGGCGAATCGAACGACGGAGATCGCGAAAGGGATACCCCCGAACACACCCCGGACTCAGTCGACGCACCCTCACAATCGGAAACCGAGGATTCCAAGGTGGGGAGCGCACCCAGACGGTGACGACGTGGGCGGCCTCCTAGAGGACCACAGAGTCAGGGTGTCCCGATCTCCGAAAAGAGAAACAGGGGTCGCCCAAGGAAAGCCATACCGGTGGTGCGTCAGGTAGTCGAGCGCGCGGCTTCGAGCGAAAACCGGGGAGACGAACCTCCCGTACGAAGCGCGGACGACCTCCGAAATCGTAGCATGAACTCGTTAATTGTGATACCCACCCCGGGGTACGAGCAATCCGTATTATGTAACCATTTACCATTTTCGAACATATCATATCATATATCATACTCATGTCGAATATCATTCATCTACCTCAACCCTAGGATGGAGACCATCATCAGAGGAAACGTAGATTGGATGGAGGAAAAACTCCAGTACCTCCACCTACCGGACTCTACGCAGAGGCTCCTCCTCCCTCCATGGGCTCCTCGGTCAACTAGGAGCCCACCAACGGTCCCAGCGCTGCAACCGCAACACGGGACCAGAAGACACTACCGTCCCACGAACAGAGAGGCCGTGGCACCTACGGGAATACCCCAGGCGAGACCGCCCGTACAACAGGGACGACTGGCCTACTTTCCCCTTGGCCTGGTCCATGGAATCTTCCCTGGAGGACAAGTGGGGGATCCTCCACAACGCCCTCCAGGAGGTAGACAGCGCTTGGAATTTCGTGCGACTCCTCATCTTTAACACCATCGCGAGGTTCGCCGAATTCCAAGATTATGCCGGCGCCGCCCAGATGGCCGGAGGATGGGCCGAGAAGATTGCCACTTGGCAATCCTACGCAACTGCCATCAGGAAGGTCCGAGTCACCCAGACCCAAGGGCAAGAGCATCAGGCCTACGGAGGCCACAAAGAAGTTCTGGGCGAAAGCCACCACCATCATCCCGGGTCAACCTCCAGCGCCAACATCAGCGTGGAGGCATCCTCGTCCAGAGGAGGGACGGTGAACATCACCATCGCCCCGAGCAGGGAAAGGAGCCAGAATGGGCAGCGCGGACGAGCGCTGCCCGAGGACTTCCATAGGAAGCGGAGTCGGCGCAACCGTGATCCAGTCCGGAAACCGAACCCAAGACAGTGCGACCCCAACAACAAAAGGGAAGGGCTCTCCTTCTCACAAGCGCAGGGATGCGCTCGGTGCGGACACCCGGGGATAACCCGATCCAGCAGGTGCCCGAATATTCTGAACCACCCGCCGATGGGAAAACCAAGCCGACCCTCTTAGCTCCTTTTCCTGAATAAAAAGGCCTCGTTTTACTACAAAAAATCGTATATTCATTTCACCTCATGATCATCCCTGGTCATTCATCGCTCATCACCGCGCTATCGAGGGGTCCGTCCAAACTCCCGGTAAGCTTGGACTAGACGGGGGCTGTAACGAGCAGGCTCGTAGATGAGCGAGATTTGAAATAGCGCGCCATGCGCAAAAGACCCGCGCAGCGAGAAAGAGAGAGAGAGAGATAGCTACGACACGCGGACTCGTGAGAGTACACGTGAGACCGGCAAGCGGGCAAGGCACGCTCGAAGTCCTTTTGTTTTCCGGGTGTGGAAAAATTGAATACAGGAGAATCGGTTCTTTGCGGTGACCGACGAAAACGGTGCGAAACGAATATTGTCAGTGCACGGAGAGATCAACTACGAGCGAGGATCAACGGGGGCCGATTCAAGATCACCGTACTCGAGGGCCTCGATACGTCGCCCACCACCCATAAGGGCAGGCCGACAGAACACTCACCCTCGGCGACTCTGGGCGACGTCGATCGAGTATTTAGGTTCGAAACCCAAGGCGTAGCTGTCTGCAGCAGCGTTCGCCCGCGTAAGTTTCTTCCGTTGTAACAATATTGCATGCGAGAGTTCCGGGAAGCGAGCGTACATAAACTGCGTCGGCTGCGTGCCGTTCGTAATCTTATTGTCTGTCTCTCTCTCTCACGCGTACGTATAATTAGGCTGTGCGCTGCGAACCTCTCGGTCAATGTGGAATGTGCGCTAACGTGTAAATAAGTAACGAATAAAATCCGCTGTGAATATACTGAGTAAATCGGCAAATTCATTCGATAGCACCGAATTCTCTCTACGTTCCCTTCTCCCTCGCAACGTTTTCTAAGAACCTACAACCACCGCTCTATCGTATTGTTCCGTGCTTTCGCGCTCGTTTTCAGGCTGCGCGTCCAGCACAGAGCTAGCCAAAAGAGGAAAATGGCGGTGACATAGATGTTTTGTTCACGGACGGCGATTTACTTCCGAAGAAATCAACAACCGTTACAGTTTATAAATCGGTTTACAATCGTAAAACTTGATTTTAGTGTCATTTTAATTAAATTTGAAGCAAATTTTCACTTTTTGTGATTTTCTGCCTTTTTATCGCCGTATGGTGGGTTGAAATTTCTGTAAAAAAAAATTCAAAACATGGTTTTCTAAGTATTTTTTCCTGTAGAATTCGATTCTGAAGTCAAAAAAACAAAATTTTTCTTTATTTCTTTTTTATTAAAAAAAACCATGAACAAACCATAAAAAATGAGGTTTTTCGAGCAAAACCCCATAAAAAAGCAGCTGGACCCTACTTTTTTATTGCAAATTCGGATTCAGCGTCGAACAATACATAAGAATATATAGGTCTGGTCAATTGCACAGACACTTTTGTGTTTTTTGTGGGCCTGTGTAATTAAATTAAATTGTAATATATTTTTCATGATTTTGTGTTTTAATAAAGAATGACGAGGTCAGTCAAATTGCTGATGAAATATCGCTTTAATAAGCGATAGTAAACTTTATTTGCTGTCTAAATTGAAATCTGACTTCTCAAACATGTAAATTTTAGAATATAAATTTTTCGGTTTATTTGTGCAATTTAAAGAGCATATCTAATTTTTATTTAATTTTGTAAATATTTAAAAGTATTATTTAATGAAGAGGACGTTACGACTCAAAGTGATAAGAAAACTTATAATATTATTTTTTTGAATATATAAGCATTTGCTCAAGTATTATTAAATTAATGTCAGTTAATATTAAACTAATTAGTAAATTAGTTACAATTTATAATTACTTACATTTTGAACGATCGAGTGAGATAACTTCGATAATTTATCTGGGAACGTTTCATCTATTAGGTGGTTCTCTGATGTATTTATTACTTTCGTAGGTAATAAACTTGGTGTGAAGACTTTGGTATCCGCTAAAGAACCAGTATATTCTTCATTATCCCAATCCTCAGAAACATCAACCGGATGCCAAGAATCTACATAATAATCAAAGGATTCAAAAATAATAATTAATCAACAACCTTAGTAAATTTGCATGCATAGTTTTTAGTCTTAATCGATGATATGAAACACACACACACGCACACGTATACAAGCGCCCGCGCGCACGTACACTCACACACACACTACGAGTACGGGCGTAGCCTGTGATCGCAGAGCTTAGCCATTGAAAACTGAAAAAGGTTATACAGTAATTTGATCTTTAATACAATACGTGGATTGAATTTCATCTTGACTTTCGCATATGTAATTTTCAGTAAAATCCATCATTACAACAAGATCATCACCCTGTATATTCATAAATTTTATTCTTACAAAATCACTTTGTCATTTAGTTACTTAATCATGTACGCCAAATTTAATAACAAACTGCAATGTCAGTTCATGGACATACTGTTTTCTCAATAACTCTACGTAAATTAATTATTATCTACCATTCATATTCTCCTATTTTTAAAATTTGATACTACTAATCGATTGCTTATAGAAAAGTTCGTAATTTATTAGCTGAAAAACTAAATCCAGGATATTAAACACATGCATTATAGCTATACGAGAGTGGTCCGATAAATACTTAGCCTACAAAAGAAAAACGAAAATTTTGGAAAAGTGGCCTTTTATTTTTCAACATAGTCTCCTTTTAGTTCGATACACTTGGCCCAGCGATGCTCCAACTTCTTTAACCCGTCTGAAAAATACGTTTCCTCGAGGTCTGAAAAGTAGGCTTCCGTGGCAGCGATTACCTCTTCATTCGACTCAAATTTCTGCCCGGCGAGTGACTTTTTCAAGTTTGGAAACAAAAAGAAGTCGCACAGGGCTAAATCTGGAGAATACGGTAGATGGGGTAGCAGTTCGTAGCCTAATTCGACCAATTTAGCCATGGCGATGGCGGAGGTGTGATATCATGACCGGTGCGTTGTCATGGTGGAAGAGCACTTTTTTCTTCGCCAATGGGGCCGTTTTTTCTGCAATTCGACGTCGAATCGGCCCAATAATTGCGTATAGTACAGTCCTGTGATCGTTTTGCCCCTCTCCAGGTAGTCGATGTAGATCACACCTTGTGAATCCCAGAAAACGGTGACCATCACCTTTCCGGCCGATGGGGCAGTCTTCGCCTTCTTCGGAGCACTTTCGCCGGGTAAAGTCCATTGTTTCTACTGTTCCTTGGTCTCTGGTGTATACCAGTGGATCCATGTTTCGTCGACTGTCACGAAACGACGCAGAAACTCCTTCGAATTGCGCTTAAACAGCGTCAGACATTGCTCTGAAGTTGTCTCACGGTTGCGCTTGTTGTCCGGAGTGAGCAAACGTGGCAGCCATCGCGCCGACAGCTTTCTCATGCCCAAAATTTCATGCAGGACATGACCCACGCGGTCTTTTGAGATGCCTACGATCTTAGCTATCTCGCGCACCTTCAATCGTCGATCTGCCAATACGAGATCGTGAATTTTTGTCACGTTATCCTCCGTGGTAGCCGTTTTCGGAGCACTTGGACGTGGCTCTTCAAAAATCGACGTGCAACCACGTTGAAACTCGTTAAACCAATTTTTGACGGTCGCCATCAAAGGAGAAGAGTCACCGTACACAGCATCCAAGCGCTTTTTGATTTCGCTGCGCGATTTCCCTTCCAAAAACAAGAATCAAATGACCGACCGATACTGCTCTTTTTCCATTTTTCAAAAATCAACGGACACACTTGCTTTCACACGCTCTCAAAAATAAACTACAACTTCGATCCTGCTGAAATCTTGACAGTAACCATCGAGAAGGTTGTACTACGTGATAGAATATTTCTTTTGCGAGAGTGGCGCCATCGGGCGGTGAGGCTAATACTTATCGAACCACCCTCGTATGTCTGATAAGTAGCTATAATGCATGTCATATCATTTAGATTTCTTACAGTATATGTTCAAAAATTTCCCTTTGCTTTATTAGAACTCTATCATTTTTTTAAATATTATAGATCCATCTAACATTAACTTATTATTTTGATGATATATAAAAACAAACATTAAATCATAAAATCCACTGTATATACAAACACATATATTAAACATTAAATCCAATGTAAATCAATTAGGATGCACTGTTTTGGTCGATATTGATAGAATCTTATCTATTGAATATAAATTGGATCTTTAAATACATTTCTTCCAGATTAAGAATTATCTTCTTATAAGTTAATTCCATTTGTCACTAGTTTTCACATTTTTATAGTCCTTCATTCCAGAGCAGATTTGACTAATATTATCTTGCAAAAAAAAATAATGTCACATTTTCTATGATCTTTTCAGTTATGATGTTTTTTTGTTCGTAACGAGAACAATAATTTGCTGGCCCGAAGTTTTTTTACAGCTAAAGCGGTTAAAGAGAGCATCCTTTTTACGTTTTGAATTCGACGAATATCCCATCATAGTGGAAAAATGGTTATAATGTGAATTTTTTTGCCCGAGTTTGAGCTTCATCCTATTTATTTTTAATTCTTCGAAAAAATTGAAATCTAATACCACTGATTTCATGCTTTCAATCGTGATTTTTATGTCTTTATAGTTCATTTTTTAAATAATCAATCAGACCATGAATTTCCTCTTCAACTAAACAAAGATTTCTAAGATCAATAGAAATTATATTATGTGAATTTCCCTTATGTAATACATGCATTCAGGTCGTACAAAACATTAGATTTGTATATTACTAATTTAATTAGATTATTTATGAAAATTTTGTAGAAATACTTGAAGAGTGATAAAATATGAAATTATATATTATTTAAAAGCGTTTCCTCATGCAGTATTGGACATCTACCACATGAACAGCGAGCGCTTGAATGGCTAGAGCTATACAACAAATAAGCTTGGATATATATGGGTCTGTCAAACAGATTTTTAAAAAAAAACTGCGCAGGTGGATCAAACGATCTTGGCAGCGATTTTTTCTATGGTAATACATGCAACAAGAGGACTTTTGGCTATTTCAGTTTTTTTTTAAATATATACAATATATATATATATGTTACGTCTTACGACGCATCCTTTTTATAAATTAAACATTTGCGAAATTCAAAGCTACTAAACTATTCGCACGTCAGCAAAAAGCTAATTAAACGCGAGGTAAATGACTCTCCTAAATTAAGCCTTACGACGCATCCTTTTTGTAACATATGCACATTCAAAACTGCTAAGCTATTCACACGACAGCAAAAAGTTGTCGAAACACACTCCGAAACTAAGTCACCAAAACGCAAGAATTTATAATCAGCGAAAACAAAATGTCAGACAATATCGCAATACTGACCTGAAAAAGAACTATAAAAGATATAAAAACCAATGAACAAATCACTCTCAGCAGTTGATCAGTAGTCCGTCAGTCAGTCAATAAGTACCTGTAAGACTCAACTCCGTACATACCGGTCCGACAATTGGTGATCATTTTACTTAATAAACTCGCGATTGTTACAAAGTAATATCGTGCAAGTATTATTCAAACAACCTATCCTATTCAATTCAACAAGCAGTTAGAGCCTGCTACATTTATTCAATTCAACAAGCAGTTAGAGCCTGCTACATTCATACAATCCAACAAGCAGTTAGAGCCTGCTACATTTTATCAACAATTAAAGGCTACGATTATCATGGTAGTACAATTATCAGACATACATTTCCACATATATTTATTATAAGTGAGACATATCCGACCACTAGTCAACATATTAGAACGTCTCATTCATTAGCTATTCGTAGTTGATGCACGAGACGTAATATATATATATATATATATACACACACACACACTGAGATATATATATATAAATAGGTAAAAAAATGAGCCCTTTTTGGCCATATTTGAAGACCCATAACTCCGTGAGTTTTGAAGATATCAGGATGGGCGACCTCTCATTCGATTCGTCTTTTCATCTACTTTTGAAAACATGGCGGTCCAAAACCTGAAAATACACTCTGCTGGATGTGCCCGCTGGTTCATTGCACTCATAATTGCTTGATTTTAAATCATATTCACGGGTTCGTAGTTCCGTCAGTTTGATATTTTTTGAAAAATTACAAGATATTTTTTTGTTTGCATTGAAAAGAGCTTTCATTTGCGACCCCACCCACCTCGCTAACTTAATTAGGACCAAAGACATGCGTATTCAATGTTTGCTGTTATTCCGAAAACAGAAAAATATTACAATTTTTAAAGTACATTTAAAAATTCGAACATAATCTTTTTCATCAAATAAGGTTTTTCTAAGTAGCTCTAGTATTGTAGAATATAATCCTATAATAACATCTCTATCAAGAGAAAACCGATTTCTTTTTTGTTAAACAAAAACGCGTTTCTACACGTTACTTTTTTTATGATGTTGTTAATGAATAAATTAATCAATCTTTTTTAAGTCGGGCTGTTGGATATATCCTTGATACATTTTCTAATAAGTCAAAATTCCAAAGTAGTTCATAAACTCATCAAATATAATAAAAATTTTATTATCATAATTGAAATATTTTCATTTCTTTTCATTACAGAAAAAGTAGATGATTTGTTAGCATCCATAGTCTCCAGCAATTTTCACTTGTTCAACATGAGTGAGACCGATTGTATAGTTTATATATCGGTCGTTTGGATAACTCTAGATCTTGTAAAAGTCATATATTTTATAAGGAAAATTTAATTGCTTTTCAAGATTTAGATGCGCAAGATTTGAAATATCTTCCATATAGAGTACCAAACTTTTATCTGATTCCCAATGGTTTTATTTGTGCAAATCATCGAAAATAATATTTAGTAGATTTTCCTGAACGTCAAGTAAACTGCTGCAACCCTTTTAATGAACATTCTGGAATTAAAAAGGTTTTAGAACTCTTTCTTTAGAAAGTTGTGATAAATTGTATAGTATTTGCAATATAATAGCTCCTTCTAGTGGAAAACTTGGTACTACGTGTCGAGCTTCTATGCTACAGAAATTTAACAGTTGGGA